AGGGTCTGGTGAGATCATTAACCTGAACAGTAGAGATTACTTCCTGTCTATTAGGCACCAAGCCAACGCTGTCATTGGTCAAGTCATTTTCTCAACAGCCTATAAGGCCAGTAAGAACTATCACTACTTTTAAGACATGCAGAGGATATGAAAACTGCTCATGGGAGAGATCTAAGTCTTTCTCACTATGCTAAGCAGATAAAGAGTGCTCCAAGGAGTGGAGGTGCATATCTGTAATTCCAGTATTCTGGGAGGCTGAGACAGGAAGATCACACGTTTGAGTCCAACCTAGATAACTTAGCAAGACCCTGTGTCAAAATAAAAATAATGAAAACAGGGCTGGATATATAGCTTAGTATGAAGGCCCTGGGGTCAAACCCCAGCATCATAAAACACAAAACTCAGTGATCCTAGGAGTCTGGGTACTCAAATAGCCACGGGGGAAAGACTAGCTGAGAATTTCTGATTCCAGACAAAAAATCATGATAATTTTTACTAAAGCAGGACTTACCTTCTCAAGAACAGTAAGGCCCTGAGAAACAGAAGTTACCTCAGTTGCTCCTGTGTGTGAGCACGCACACACCCATGCAAGTGAGTAAATTTTATAAATTAAAGGAACACCACCTTTAAAAAGTAGAGTTAAACTGGCGGCAGTAATTACCCGTTTAAGAAAAATGTTCAGATGAGAAGGGAAATGGGGGGAGAAGGAGAAAGGAAAGAAGGGACAAGAAAGAAAGAGAATAGAAAAAATGGAAACAAAGCTTTTATAAATAAGGAGAAGAATGTACCAATAAAAAGAAATAAACTTTACAAACAAGAAATATTAAGTACTTACTGCATACTATGGGGATATACAGGTAAGAGAGCGAGATTTGTCTTTTGCTCTCATGTAGCTTAAATTCTAACAAAGGTCACCAAACACCACCACCACCACCACCACGAACTAACCTAGGACAGGAAAAGTCCTGGACTCAGGGAGCACACAGCCTTCTGGTGCACCTCAAACTACCCGGCCAGTACCAGATCCCACGAGGGCACGGCCTTAACAACTGCCCCTGCCAACGGGCACGTTTAGGAAATGGTGGAGCTGGCCGTACACACTGCAATGCCCTCTTAGTTGACCTCAGATTACAAGTGGTTTAGATCGGAGCTCCAAGCCCAACACTTGCATTTCCATTCTGATGTTGAACCCCAGGTCTGAGGATTTCATCCCTTAGGGTGCTATAGGAGGCCGCTAAGGATCTGAGGCATTGAGGAGTCTCAAAGTCAACCTCTGCGGGGTTTTCTACTGGGCTCTGAGGCTGGGCAAGACCACCGAGCGTGGGTTTCAAGAACGGCAAGGAGCAGCAGGTAAGCCAGCAAGAGCAAGAGGATGACTTTAAAGACTTGCCCTGCCGTGGTCATGAGTCAACATAAAGCTACATCAAAAGCTGAACAATGACTTTCTCAGTAGGCGCAGGAGAAGCCGTTCAGAACTTGAGCGTGAGCCCTGGAAGAAACAGTCCCGTTGTACAGGTCTATTTCTCAAGCCAAGGGTACAGGCTGACGATCAGGAGCGGTGAGGGAGAGGCCCGTGCGTTGCGAGGCTGCACCAAGCAGTGGAGACCATGAGCTGCTGGCGATGATCAGCCTCGGCGCAAACGCAGCCCTGATGCTGGCTGAGTCTCTTACCCGAGACTCACTTTCGTCAAAAGGAAAACCGAGACGCAACCTCACCAGCCGGCTCCTCTGAGGTCCAAGTAACACCCAGGAGGGACCCGGTGAGGAGAAGCTGCCGTTATCATCAATAACGACACCATAAATTCCCTCCTCCACATTACGCCTTGCTGAAGCCAGAAGCTAGGAGACTTTTAAGCACACACAGAGGGCATCTCCCCTCATGGCAAGAGAAGAGCAGTTTCCCCCACTCCCGTCCTGCCAATAAGAAACTGGATCAGAGCCAGCCGGTGCCCAAGGTCACAGAGCTCAGCCCAGTGTCACTCAGCACCAGGCCTTACCTTTTCCCGAAAACAGCTGCTGCTCACCACTCAGAAAACTGGTGAATTCTCGCTCCCGGCCCTTCCTACCACTTGGGTGTGGGGTTTCCCTTTCTGTGGAAATCTGGCGTTGCGACAGCTCTCCTTCCTGCTTGGTATCCGATGCCATCATCTCCACCTTTTCCATCGGCTTTTACTGGTGACTAATGTCGGTCAACACTTTACTCCCCTAGGACCCCATTTTCAAAAAAAGTCAGCCCCAAAGAAGGCCTTCACTCAACTTTCACAGACAGCTGTCATTTCCACTGCAGTCCTGGGAGAACAAGATGTGCTAAAGACTCTCCCTCCGTTAACTCCAAGTGACCTCAAAAAGCTCTCCATCTTTAAGATCACTCTTCCCTCCTGGACTCGGGTAGTTTGATGTACCTACCTGTAGACCCAACCTCCCAAACTGATTGTTTATATCTATAACCAAGAAGCAATTTAGCATAGTCGAACCAAAGGTCAAGGGCCACTCCCAGGGCGCATTAATTCATTCAACAGGTATTTCGTGAGCACTAACTAGGTGCTGAGGGAATGTCAGTGAGTCTTCAGACGATTGTTATTGAAAAGCACTTGGAAAGTTAGTTAAAGAGAAATTTTACATAGATGAGCAAACTGGGGCAGTTCTCTGGGTGCCTTTTGCTGCATTCTGGCAGGCCAACTCCCCCAGACCTGGAAACACTTCTGACTATGTATTCGTCTTGTATCATAATCCCGAAGCTGTACTTGTTTATTTACAGCTGCAGGTGTGAAGGGAAGCTAACGCTTGGAGAAAAGAATGTGCATGCTCACCGCAATGCAGTGTCTGGTCCCAGGGCTCCACCAGCTCAGAAGATGCCCAAGATCTTTCCCACCACTCTGGTGGAAATGACTGCGTTGTACCAGAAACGATTTTTATAAGTACACTAAACAAATTCCTTCCTTACAGCTATGCTTTGGCAAGAAAGTAGAGTACACACAGGAAAATTTGTCCCCCCACATAAAGCATTTCTATACTGTTCGCTTCTGTTTATCGGAGGGTTTTGAATTGAAGGAGCAGGAAAAACTGAAAAGTGCCATATTTCTGAATAATTTTAGTGGGAAATACTGAAAAGTGCTGTATTTCCCAGTAATTTTAGTGGAAGTACTCTAACATTTTCTACTGGAATCAGCTCTTAAATTGACTTTTTGTTTTTTGACACAGGGTCTCACTGTGCAGTTCAGGCTGGGCTCACTTTATAGACCAGGCTGGTCTCCAACTCGCAACGATCCTCCTGTCTCAGCCTCCTGAGTGCTGGGATCGTGTGATCGTCTTCTGTTCCATATTAAGCTCACAGCAACTCCCAGACACTGTATCTGTGATTGTGAGTATTTTACAGATAATGAAAAGATGTCATATTAGAAGAAATGCACTTTAATAAATGATTTTCAATGTTCAAGATTTAAATGCTTAAGCAACTTAGCCAGACCCTGTCTCAAAAATTTTTAAAAGGGGAGAGAAGTGAGGATGTCGCTCAGTAGTAGGGCGCCCCTGAGTTCAATGCCTAGCACTGGGAAAAAAAAAACAAAAAAACAACAAAAACCCTGAAAGCTCACTCTTTACCAGTTTCTGCACATGCTCGGCAGAGGTGCTGTCCTGGCACCATCTTTATAGTGTCTCCTGTCTGGAATTCCCGTCATGCAGTGACAGTGAGGGTGGCGACTGGGGCTAACACCTTACGAATTTTTCAGTCTTCCTAAGTTATTTCCCCCTCTGCCAGGAGAAAGGCACGTATTAACGTTTCCAGAATAACTGGCATTTCCAGAGTATGCTTTCTGGTGCGTGGTGTTGGCAATCTTCGGTATTTTCAGTCCTAAGGACGAGACTACCAAGCAATAGAGATCTGGTTCTAGGACACTTGGGCAAATATTTCCTGGTCACGTCTTTCATGGAAATGAAATAGTTTCTCGAGATGAGCACTCCTCTCTTCCCGAGGCCCACAGGAAACGGTCGTCGGACCGAGGTGCAGCGCGAGGTGTCTGCGGGGGGCAACTGCGAGGGTCCCCGCGGCAACAGCCTGCGGAAATGACTTGGGAAACGCTCGGGGCTGGGGCTCCCCGGGGGACCTGCAGCCTGGAGCCCAGCGCGCGCAGTCTCCTCCCCGCCCCTCCCTACCCCCCGGGGGAGGGGGTTCCGGGGCGCCCGAGTCCCCGCCCGCTGTCGCTGCCCGAGCTGGTTCTTAACCTTTTTTGGGCCGGGGACCTACAGAAACCTACAGACCCTTTCGAGATGGGACGGAAGTTCGGGGGAAAGGACCGTTTGAAAACACTGCCAAACTTTCAGGGGACCACGGATTTGAAACCAGATTAAGATCCCCGAGTGGGCCGAGTCAATGAGGCGTGGAGCTCAGGTGCCAAATCTGGTCCAGAGCGAGCAGGCGCAGGGCAGGGCAGGGCAGGGCAGGGCAGGGCAGGGCAGGGCAGGGCAGGAGGTGCTTCCGTTCCTGGGAAGACGCACAGGAGGGCCGGCGCGGAGAGGGGCAGAGGCGCGGAGAGGGAGGGACCCGGAGGAAATGGGAAACGCCGAGGGCACGGTGGGAGGGGGCAGGGACGGCGGAGGGGACAGGGACTGGCAGAGACGGGGTGCAGCGCGGTGGGAAGCAGGAGGGCGGAAGAGGGGCGGGGGCCAGCCTGCCCGGGAAGGGAGCGAGTCCTCCCGCTGGCCCTCCGCGGCAGCGCGCGCGAG